ACTTTCCTTTAGAATTGAAATTAAGATTCAGTTTGAAAGAAGTATAAATGCAAATATATAGAGGGCAAAATCTTGGAGTTGATGTGGCAATTCCAAGGACTTTAGTAAGGAAATAATGGATACTTCAAAAATTGCAATGATTGGGGGTAAGGGAGCAAGGATAGGCCATATGACGTGGCTATTTTTATTTTAATAATACTAATAGATGCTAAAAATATCTACCTTTAGACTTGAAATTGTTGATAATTCATACTTTTATAGAGGGTTCAAGGACTGGATTGCAGTCCAAAAATAAATTAAAAGACGTGAACTTTTGGACTCAACTCTAGCCTAAATTTATACACAAACATATTTATATAGTTTCCTAAAAAATATAATTATATAATTATATTTTTTCTATATATCCGTATTCGAAATATAGAAAAAATATAATTATATAATTATATTTTTTCTATATATCCGTATTCGAAATATAGAAAAAATATAATTATATAATATTTATACATAAAAAATATGAAAAAAGAAATTGATCTGATTAGGTTCAGGCTAACTCGACTCAAGTTGCTCCCCTAGATTCAGCAATGGATCCAGGTAATGGATAACCGCAGACCCTAATGCGTCCTTTGTGCATGAATATCGTTATGGCAAAAGGTTGTTATTTTCTTGTAACAACTGACAAAGAAATTTGAACAAAAAATGAAGCCCTGTCGAAGTTGGGAATCCAATTCTAAATTTCTTATTCACCTTTTACTTTAAGTTGCCTTAATCTGACATAGCTCACCCTTAGTTTTTTTTTTTTTTTTTTCACCAAATTGCCATGTGAATAGATTTGGAAACAAGGATTCCAGGCCCACCCATAGAAAGTAGAAACAACATTTTACCGGAATTTGGAGGTGCTATGATTTTGACATTCAATCCACGAAATTCACAAATAAGTGTCAATGATTAGATGAACCTGAGATAAAATTATGCACATCAGGCTGGGTTATCTATCACGAGTAAATATGCCAGTATTTACTGTAAACCCATTTAGATTTTAGACCCTTTTATATTGATGTGCATGATTTTGCTTATACTTGGTTTCATGGGTGTTTATTAAAAAAATATCATTATATGTTTCATCAACCGAACCAACCGATTTAATTAACCGAATTTTTTATTCGGTTTCAATCAGTTTTTCGATTTTTCTTTCTCACCAACCCCGAGAGAGAATGCAATTCATCCTTATCCTGTCTTTTGTTCTTCCTTCCTTTATTTTAATTTTTTGTTTACCGTTTTAATTACAAATTTACAAGTGCATCAAGCATCACACATCTAGAGTATTGTATCAATTTAGGTGAATCCCCGTCCATCATTCAATGTGGGACCCAAATGGTTTTAAGAGAATCCTAGAACCATTCAACCAATAGGGTATTGGTAAAAGATAAGCGTGTAAATAATATTGAATTATTTGTCCAATTCTATACATCATATGTTAATTAATAAAATTACTCAATAAAAAATTAAAAAAGTATTCACCGACATGAATAAAGTTCAAGTCACAAAAAAAAAAAAGAATAAAGTGCAAGTCGAACACCACTACCCCATACCTACATGGAGAAATTATTGAATCTTAGAGTACGATCTCAGGGAAATTTATGTGAAAAATATAAAGCAACCAACTTTGAATGGAATTGAAAATAAGAAAATTACAAAAAAAAAAAGGTTAACCTTTCAACCTTTAGGCTTCATTGGGGAAGAATGTAAATACAAATATAAACGGTATATAAAATTCTGTACTGAACATATTTAATTTGTATTCGCACTCTTCCCAAACGGAGCCATAGGTGTTGTTTGGTTTGATACAAAAAATTGAAGGAGAGTTTTTCAAGGAATTTTCTGTTGAAACCAAATTGATTCCTAAATAAAAATATAAAAAATGTGTTCTTGGTTGTACATCTGTTTTTTGTTTATAAATTAAAACAAAAAAAAAACTTTTTTGTGCCAAACATCGTGTTTGAGAGATCATTATTTTTGTTTTAGAAACCATTATTTTTATGGTTCTAAAATATGGATTTTTTATAACAAAATCAACTTGTTGTTCCTTCTCATAATAAGAACATAATATAAGAACACTTATCAAGTTTTTTATGATGTGAAAATTTTAAAATAAATGAAAACAAAACCATTCATCTTGTAGAATACCCCCCCCCCCCCTATTACGAGAAAAATTAAAAACAAAAAAAAACAAAAATTCAGCTTTTTGTTATTTCCCCAACAAAATATAGATAAAATATTTCAATTGCTAAAATATATACTATTAAAAATATTATAACTGTTAAAACCCAAAATTCCAGTTATTTTGAGATATTATAAAAAATATCCATTAAAATTTGTTCTAAAGTTTGCCCAAATCAAACATAGGCTGGATATTTTGGTTAGTTAAATATAAATTCCATTTTCTTATTGGTTTTAAAGTAATAATTAAGAACATGCTTGGATTTGGGAGAAACAAGTTTTGCAATTTTCCTGCATTCACGCCGTGTGCTATGAAGAACGATGCCAAGGCATGTGAAGGCGATGCGCCGCACGTGCTGCATTATTCTACTGAGTCTCAGTGGATCCGTGTGGGGTTCACGCGGTTCGGAATCCTGGAGGGCGGATTCACCAAACAAAAAGTCGTTTTTACACATGCCAGCACGAAACCTCATCCCTCTGCCACGTGGCAAGGGTCCGAAAACTACTCGCCAGATATACCTCCTTAAACTTCCCCCCCTGTATTTGCATTAAATTACAGAATAGCTCTCCGGGCCGCTAAATCCAACTTTAAGCCGTAGTCCTCCATAGACCGCGTCAAGTCCTGCAAAAAAGGCAACGAAATTTTCAAAAACAACTCATTCTTCATTCTGTCCTTTTTTCCCAGACGTCAATAACATCGTGCCGTCAGCCGTTGCTACTTGCTACTTTACCTACTTAGTACGTTGGGTTTGGATATTTGAGTCATTTTTTCGAAAGGTCATGAATACTTTCGACAATAAACTGGTTAATAGACTTCCTATTTACTGCAAACGCGGCGCTAGGGGTGTCCACGTGGTACCGGTTTTTCCATATCATCAAACTGAAACTGAATGGGTACCACCGGTTAATTAGTCGGCTCGTTTCGGTTTTTGATCAGTTTGATTTTTCGATTTTTCAGTTTTTTATATTTATAATATATATTATATAAATATATGTATAATATTATAAATATTTTAAAAATATATAATATATAATATATTTATAAATAGATCATTATAAATATAATATAAGTACATATTTATATATAATGAATATATATTTATATATAATACATAGAAAATATGTGACATATATTAAAAATATAATATATATATATATATATATATATATCGGTCGATTCGGTTAACCATCGGTTTTTCTGTAAGTTAATTGAAAACCGAACGGTCTTTTGGTTTTTCAAAAATTCCGAACCAAAACCGAACCAACCGGTTTGGTTAGCTGCATTTTGCAATTCGGTTTCTCGATTCAGTTCAGTTGTTTGGTTTTTCATGGACACCCCTAGCAATGGGTAGGGTAGCCATGCAAATTCGTTAATGATAGCACCAAATCTCTTATTATTCTTATTTTACGTCAATAAGTTATTTTATCTTTTATATTATTTATTGAAATAAAATAAGTTTTATTAATTTTTTTGTTCATCCAAACAATTATTGCATATATTAACAATTACAACTAAAAATTAAAAATTAGTATTTTATAACTAAATGAAATAAATAATCTAGCAAATTCAAATTTACATTAAATGATGATTTTAATTCCAAGAAATTTATACAAATAAAATATTAATAATAGAATAATTATCTTAATACTTAAATTTTATAAATTTGTGCATGATATATATCTTACAATTTTTATGTTATTAAATAATATTTTAATCTATATTAAATAACATTATATTTTGCATTTACAAAAAAAAATAAAAAAAAATGTTTACAAAATATTCAAGAATATAATATTAAATTGAATCTATCAAATCCACTAATTTATATTTACATTTTTAGTTTCAAAAAATTTATAGAAATTCAAATTTTAATAATGAAATAGTTATTTTAGTAATTAAAAATTATGAATTTGCATATGATATATATCTTAGAAAATTTAAACAGATTTGATATATTTTGAGTAAAAATTGTATATGATATTTTAATTTATATTTGATAATTTTAATACTTGATTAGCCTTTTTGTTAATGTTAAAAAGTAAAAATAATAAAATATAAAATAATTGATATAATAATTAGGATAAATATAATAGATTCATACATATGTCTTAGATTCTTAATTAATATATTGTTTGATATTTATGCACCCTGATAAATTTCAGGTATCAGATACCCTAAATTTCAAACCCAAACCCGTCCCAATAAGATTTTAATCTAACATCCCAGACCCTATAAAATTTTAATAAACGGATCCTACTAAAATCGAAACAAGTCGAATATACTTATCAGTTACCACTGAAATGTCCTAAATGTCCTCGTTCAAAAGCTGGCTTAGGTTCACATAAGTTCGACTGTCTATCATAAATCAGGGGTCGCTTTCTTTGGTTAGGGGAGGAGGAGAGGTTTTGACTTGAACAAATCGGGTTGTTATGTGAAAGGAGGCTCGAATTCGCGTAAAACTGGAGGGCGTCTCCCGTCGCTACGAGAGATTGAGAGATAATCGAGATTAAAAGCAATTTGATATTGAGAGATAATTAATGTGGGCCCAACTGGGTTGTGGACTTTGAGAAAAAAACGTGAATGCATGGCCCATGGGGCTGGCTGGGGCCTGGCTTGAACTTTCAACGAACCAAGTGTGGTTCGTACAGCAAGACGACAGCACACAATTAGCAAAGCCACATCAGCAAAATTCATTATCGCAAGTCGCCACGCGTCATGGCCCTCCACTCGATTATCCTACCCCCCATTTAAAGCCGAAATCCCGGCTTTTCCTACTCCCCTTCGATCCAGCGAATGTAATGTAAAGAGACTGCTAATAAAAGGAGGAAATATTTTAGAAAATTTCCTTCTTGTCCGAAAGATCTCTGCTACTCGATGTCGAAGGCAGGAACTCTACAAACAGCTTCCAAGATCTGAGATTTTTCCCTGTGTTGTGTTAGGGTTTTGTTGGGTGGGGTAGTTGACGATCTTCGAGGAAGATTTTGTCTGGTTGTTTAATTGTTTTGTTGATGGTTTTAGTTTAGCTTAGACGAGTTCTAAATACTAAATGTCTGTTTTCAATTAATAATAGAGGATTAGAAAAGAAGCTTTCGGAATGACGTGTTTAAGTATTTGAAGTTGGACTTTTGTGAAGGACTTGGTCTCTCCGTAGTTTTTTTGTCGCCATTAATTCTTCAGACGGATGGGGTACATCGTTTAATCCATTTTGAAGGTGTCAGACCTACCCTCCAAAGCTTTGAAGGATCGGGCGGCATCTCATTATCATAAGAGGTAATGCTTTAGAACCCTAATTCTTATTGTGTTGGGTTGGATATAATCTCTACTGGCTTATCGGGTAGAGATTTCAGGTAAATCGGCTATCTGAAAAGATTTAACATTTCAGCTGAATTGTCTACCTTTTTGTTTGAAGCATTCAATAAGTCGAAATCGATAGTTTTGATTCTTATAAGATTTGAACTTTAAAGCTATGTAGTTTTGTTGGATTTTTTATTCTTTTGGCTTCCTGTGAGTTTTAATTTGAGTCGTATGAACTGCTTTCTGCAGAGTTTGCTTTCTCTCTCTCTTTTTTTTTTTTTTTTTCTTTTTTTTGAAGATTTGTAGTTTTCCTTTAAAGTATTCATCTGAACGATTTGAAACAGGTGTTTTGAGGATACACAAGTTTTGAACTGCTTTGAACTTTTTATCTGGTTTCTGCAACGAAAGGGCTGTTTACTGTTGTTTCCTATTTTCGTTGGTGAAATTTCAGGATTTGGTGGACAAGTATCTAGTAGTGTGTCGATATGGCGTCAAAATCATTCAAAGCAAGCCGATCAAACTTATCGCAATCGTCTGACGATTTTGATGCACGGCAAGGTAGGCGTCCATTTACTCCGGTTGTGACCTTTGGCAGGAGAACTTCTTCCGGTCGGTATGTGAGCTACTCTAGGGAGGATCTTGATAGTGAACTTGGCAGTGGTGAATACACGAACTATACGGTGCACATACCACCAACTCCCGATAACCAGCCCATGGAGATCTCCATGGATCCATCTATCTCACAAAAGGTTGAAGAGCAATATGTGTCAAATTCTATTTTTACTGGTGGTTTCAACACTGTTACTCGAGCTCATCTTATGGACAAAGTGATTGATTCTGAAGCAAGTCATCCTCAGATGGCTGGTGCCAAGGGTTCTTCCTGCGCTATACCAGGTTGTGATGGAAAGGTAATGAGTGATGAGCGTGGAGTGGATATCCTTCCCTGTGAATGTGATTTCAAGATCTGTAGAGATTGCTATATTGATGCTGTTAAGATGGGTGGTGGAATATGCCCTGGCTGTAAGGATCCCTACAAGGAAACCAATTTGGATGAGATAGCCATGGATAACGGAGGTTCAATTCCACAGCTGCCGCCACCACCTGGGATGTCAAGGATGGAGAGGAGGTTGTCTTTGATGAAATCAACTAAGTCAGTGTTGATGAGAAGCCAGACAACAGACTTCGATCACAACAGGTGGCTGTTTGAAACTAAGGGAACCTATGGATATGGAAATGCCATATGGCCACAGGATGGAGGTTTTGGGAATGAGAAAGATGATGAGGTTGCTCAGCCTTCTGAGCTGATGAACAAACCATGGAGGCCTCTTACTCGCAAATTGAAAATTCCTGCTGCCATTCTCAGTCCCTATAGGTAGTTACTCTTTCCAGATCCTTTCCTGTTACTGCACTAGGACAAGTTCTTTTCTATTATTGTTTCTTTGTATGTTTTCTTTTTTTTCTTTCTTTTTTTTTTCTTTCTTTTTTTTTTGAATGACGATATACAATAAAGACTTGCATCATTGCATAGTACCTGAATCAAATAATATTTTCGTAAAATCCTGGGTGGCAAGTGTGAGAGCGTGGGTTTGAGTCAGAGTGCAGCCACTTTGTGGAAAACAAATGCCAAAGGTCAGGACCATATACAGTTCTACCTCTCTCAAGACCCCAGATTGCTGGAACCAACATTGGACAATTGCTAATACCTTCAAGTTTGGGAGTCTCCACTGTTTCTTTCTATCCTATTGTTTACCTGATTGGCTGGTAGTTCTTGGTGAAAAAGAAGTAGAAATGGAGAATCTGGTTGCATTCGCAGGCTGGACATCATTGCATCTCCACTGTTCTATAAATCAATTGGTGGTTCAAATTAACCAGTTGCCAATTTTCTCTCAAATTTGCTGTATAAGAAAAGTTGCTCATCACCTTGATGAGTACCTTGCCCATATAGGACAATTGGCTCCATTTGTTATGATTGCAAGACTGTATTTCCAAAATCTCGGTGTTCTCTCTACTTCTTCCATGTGCAGGTTCAATGAAAAAATCTTGAGATACTGTCTTGATTATCATCTGAGGAGAACAGGGTGTAATCTGTGTTGAAGAAACTTCAATGGCATTTTTTTCTCTCAAAAAATCCTTTGGTTCTACGAAATATCAATTGCATATTTACTATTTCATGTTGCCATGTCAATGAGTCCTACTTGTCTTTTACGGCTTTATAACCCATATTAGGTAAAGTAGGATAAAGTGTATTAATGATTGGTTGAAAAGGATAAAATGTGGTACAGCATATCTTTGGAGGTCATTGCACACCTTGAACTTTTTCCACCCAATATACTTCACATTGTTAGAAAGGAGATTTTTCTTTTTTTCACATACTAATAAAATTTAAAAATTAACCATTAAAAAAAACTAGAAGATTTGAAGTGGGTTTCTGTGGTTGAATAGTTGCACAAGGACCATTTGGTTTTGCATTCTATTGATATAATTTTTTATGCTAATATGGCCCTGCACCTTCAGGTAGAATTGAATGAACTAATCTATACAGAATAATTTAGCTTAATAAATTTCTTATTCATGGCTTCATGCCACCCAGACCCAGCACAATTATGCAGTATGGCAGTATGGCCATTTTTTTCCTGTCCTATGTTAATCATGCTGATGCATCATACATTGTTTCTTTGGTCACAGGCTCCTAATTTTTGTTCGGATGGCTGCCCTTGGCCTGTTTCTTGCATGGAGGATTAGGCATCCAAACAGTGAAGCAATCTGGCTATGGGGGATGTCTGTTGTCTGTGAGATTTGGTTTGCCTTTTCCTGGCTGCTTGATCAGCTACCCAAGTTCTTCCCTGTTAACCGATCTACTGACCTTGCTATACTCAAAGATAAGTTTGAAACACCAAGCCCTAACAACCCCACTGGAATATCTGATCTCCCAGGTACAGATGTCTTTGTTTCTACTGCTGATCCAGAGAAAGAACCACCTCTTGTCACTGCAAACACTATTCTTTCTATTCTTGCTGCTGATTACCCTGTTGAAAAGCTAGCTTGCTATGTTTCTGATGATGGTGGTGCCCTTCTGACCTTTGAGGCCATGGCTGAAGCTGCAAGTTTTGCCAACTTGTGGGTCCCATTCTGCCGGAAGCATAATATTGAACCTAGAAACCCAGAGTCTTATTTCAATCAGAAAAGAGATCCTTACAAAAACAAGGTACGCTCAGATTTTGTCAAGGACCGTAGACGGGTAAAGCGTGAGTATGATGAGTTCAAAGTCCGGATCAATGGCTTGCCAGATGCTATCAGACGCCGTTCTGATGCCTATCATGCTAGAGAGGAGATTAAAGCCATGAAGCTCCAGAGACAGAATGCAGGTGATGAACCTGTAGAAAGTGTGAAGATTCCAAAAGCTACTTGGATGGCCGATGGAACTCACTGGCCTGGCACTTGGTTGGTTCCAGCATCTGAGCACTCCAAGGGTGATCACGCTGGAATCATACAGGTAACTATATTCTTAAATCAACCTTTTACCTTTTTGCTTAGAGATGAGATCAAGCAGATAGTTAAGATTGGTTGAATGTAATGATTTTTGGAATTTACCTTCTTATTCTTATTGTTTTCCTTTTTCTTTATTTTATTTTTTGAAACAGGAGAACAAGTTAAAATGGAACTAAACATGATTTTATCAACTGCAGGTAATGTTGAAACCTCCCAGTGATGAACCATTAAAGGGCACTACTGCTGATGATACTAAGCTCCTTGACTTCACTGATGTTGACATCCGTCTCCCCTTATTTGTCTATGTTTCCCGTGAGAAACGTCCTGGCTATGATCACAATAAGAAGGCTGGGGCCATGAATGCCCTTGTTCGAGCCTCTGCCATTATGTCCAATGGCCCCTTCATTCTCAATCTTGACTGTGACCATTACATCTACAATTCCCAGGCAATGAGGGAAGGTATGTGCTTCATGATGGACCGTGGTGGTGACCGAATTTGTTATGTCCAGTTCCCCCAGAGATTCGAGGGTATTGACCCCTCAGATCGTTATGCCAACAACAACACTGTCTTTTTTGATGTCAACATGCGAGCACTTGATGGTCTTCAGGGTCCTGTGTATGTTGGAACTGGATGCCTCTTTCGCAGGATAGCCCTCTACGGTTTTGACCCTCCCCGATCAAAAGAACACCCTGGTTGCTGCAGTTGCTGTTTTGCTCGTCGCAAGCGAGTGGTTTCCTCTATCCCTGAAGAACACCAGGCCCTTAGAATGGGAGACGATGATGATGACATGAACATGTCTTTCTTCCCTAAGAAGTTTGGCAATTCAAATTTCCTTATTGATTCAATCCCTGTTGCAGAGTACCAGGGCCGTCCCCTTGCTGATCATCCAGCAGTAAAGTATGGACGCAAACCAGGTGCTCTCACCATTCCCCGTGAACTTCTTGATGCATCAACAGTTGCAGAGGCCATTAGTGTAATCTCCTGTTGGTATGAGGATAAGACTGAGTGGGGCCAGCGTGTTGGATGGATTTATGGATCTGTGACAGAAGATGTGGTCACAGGGTATAGGATGCACAATAGAGGATGGAAATCTGTTTATTGTGTCACCAAGCGTGATGCCTTCCGTGGGACTGCTCCTATTAATCTTACTGATAGACTACACCAGGTGCTTCGTTGGGCTACTGGCTCTGTTGAGATCTTCTTCTCTCGCAACAATGCCATCTTTGCCAGCTCAAAGATGAAGTTCTTGCAGCGGATTGCATACCTTAATGTCGGAATTTATCCATTTACCTCCATCTTCCTCATTGTGTACTGCTTCCTCCCAGCACTCTCTCTCTTCTCTGGCCAGTTCATTGTCCAGAGCCTTAATGTTACCTTCCTTGTCTATCTCCTCCTCATCACTTTGACCCTCTGTATGCTGGCCATCCTTGAAATCCGGTGGTCAGGTATTGAGCTAGAAGAGTGGTGGCGGAATGAACAGTTTTGGTTGATAGGAGGCACAAGTGCTCATCTTGCTGCTGTGCTTCAAGGGTTATTGAAAGTCATTGCAGGGATAGAGATCTCCTTCACTCTAACATCCAAGTCAGCCGGGGAGGATGAGGATGACGAGTTTGCTGACTTATACATTGTTAAGTGGACATCCTTGATGATTCCGCCGATCACTATAATGATGACCAACTTGATTGCAATTGCAGTTGGGGTAAGCCGGACCATATACAGTACTTTACCGCAGTGGAGCCGTCTTCTAGGTGGAGTATTCTTCAGCTTCTGGGTCCTGGTACATCTCTACCCCTTTGCCAAAGGGTTGATGGGAAGAAGAGGAAGGACACCCACCATTGTGTTTGTCTGGTCAGGCCTGATTGCCATCACCATCTCCCTCCTCTGGGTGGCAATCAATCCCCCGTCTAATAGTACTGAGATCGGAGGTTCGTTCCAGTTCCCATAACGGATCATTCATTTTTAAGTTTAATCCAGCTTCAATCTTTTTTTATCGAATTCTTTTCCCCGGATGTAAATCATGGTGACTGTACTAGGGGTCCTTGTATCTTCACAAGTGATCTCCAGTTTCAATTTTTAGGGGTGACCGGGGTGGCTGTGGCTTTTGAGGGAATGCAGATTTTTTTTCCGCTTTATTTCTCTCACATGTATCCAAATTCTTACCGTTGATAGAGGGAGGGATTACATGTGTCTATTTTCATTCGTTTGTAATTCTATAGAATCTAAAGTTAAACTAAACTGAATACTCCATCAAATTCATCATAAACTAGCTTATGGAGTATTACTTCACTGTTCCTGTTATTTTCTAGCCTCTCCCTCATCCTTCCTTTAAATTGGTATACTCTTGTATTAGTTTTCAATCCCTCTTTTAGTTTTGACTTTTGAGCTCTTATTTTCAAGATAGGTGTAAAATTAACCATGGATCATTGAGAAAACTAATAACAGTGGTACAGCTAGGTTTGCACTATTTGTTTTTCATGGATACAGAGATCAAACAACCTTCGTAACGTATGAAAAATTGAGATGGATTCATAGAGATAATAAGGCCCTATAACATGTCATCTATCCTATGATAGGATATCATTAGCCACCATTCAATGGGCTCTTGAAGATTCATTGGGATAAACGAAAATTTGGTTATGATGGATTCATAGTCTCCCAGTGTACTAGTGGCCTTGATAGCTTTGGGCTCCTTGTGGCTTCTTCCCATGATAATTGTTTGGTTTGTCACCGTGCATTGGTATTTCTTGTGTGGAGGCTGATTATTGATCTCCCCCACTCAAACTCATAGTACGTGGGTTGAATGGCTTTAGGCCTTCTTCATCAGGTGTCTTTAGATCAACAAGTTGCTCAGCTATGGCCATGGCTGTGGCAAGGTCTTTCACACTGTGCCGTTGAAGTTCAAGCTCAGCCCAGGGCTTGAGACCGTCTATGTTTACTTGCTTTGAAATTTGACATTTGAAAGTGCAATAATTACATTAAGAGTTATATTGGTATTGGTGAACTTTTCTTTCTAATACAGAGAATATTGTTCTGAATTCTGAAAATTAACAAATATCCATTTTGACCCTATATATGAGAGTTTTTGTTTGTCTTTTTTGGGGATATCATTGAAAAACAAAAAATTGTATGATTGAACTTTAAGAGATAAGAGGAAATGAACAATCATTTTTCTCTTTAAAAGATTCCTCTTAAGAGATAAGAGTTAAAAGAGGAAACGAACAGGCCCATAGTATGTGGTTGGTTCTGTTTATGTTTATTGAATAAATGTTTGTACTTCATTTGTTGGTAAAACCGAGAAATGTAATAATTACAACCATTTATGACAACTAAGCGCCACTAAGTGCCATTAGGCTCCACATCAGCATAAAAGTGAAAAATGTCTATTTGTGAAAGCTTTAGGGGCTGTTTGGCATTGTTGTCGTTTCCTGGAGCAACGGCGTCACATCGGAAAAAACGGTGCTCTAGGAAACGAACATTTGTTTGGAACTGTTTTTCCATAAAAAATGATGCTTCAAACCATGCCTCGGAAATCGGGAAGCTATGGCTTGGAGCAACGTCAAATTTGGCGTTCCCTGGAGCTTCAGCTCATTGCTGCCAACAGGGCAGTGATGTCGCACTGGATAATGGGTATCATTGCTAAAAACGTTTCCTGGAGCAATGGTACCAAACAAAAAAAGTTATTGTTTTTCTAAGAAATGTCCTACCTGACAGCAATGATTCCGTTTTCTGAGAAAATTGTGTTCTAAGCCACCAAAAAACGGTGTTGCACCTGTAGCATCGATGCCAAACATATACTTAAAAAATAACTTCTACAAACTGTTGGCATGCACAAAAATTGAAGTTCATTTTTGTTATTCTCGGTGCATACAGAAGAGCAAGAGAGATAAACTATTGAAGTTTCATCTATGTGGCAGAATTTATTGAATGCCCACGAAACCAAACACCCTGATAATAAAGGCAAAATCTTCGGTCCGGGGCCTATAATAACATGTCATCTAATATCATTACCCTGATAAATGAAAATTTGGTTCTTGTACACGTTTTTTTAAAAACGGAAATTTGAACGGTGTGCTTGTTCTTGAAATGATGCTTCTACTCCAATCCAATCTGCCAATGGATTAGAGATGGGTTTAATCCGACAAAATCCAATATAAATCCATTATAAATTATAAATGGATTAGATTTAATCCAATCAAATATTTCAATGTCTTATTGGACCATCCAATCCGTTTCGTCTAACCCCAAAACTGGTTCATTGACACCCTTTATTGGCTAGAACCCATCCAATGCACCTTATAGTCTCCTCAGGTTAATATTTAGTCTGAGCACCTTATAGTCTCTTCAGGTTTACATTTAATTTATTTGTCTTAGTGGAATTAATAAGGATGAACTCCTTCATTTTCCAATCCCCTAAGCTTATGGTCAAGATTCAAGTAGGGCATGGAGTAGCTTTTATTTCGGCTTATGCTTTTTTTTTTTTTTTTTTTTTTTTGTAAAAGACTTAAGCCTCCCTTGATTCTTTTTCAAAATTGACTAGGACCTTCCCCTGTTAGTAATTGCATGTGATTCTTTTGTTTTTTTTAGGAAAGAAAAACCCATTTTTGCCCCTTTTATGGTCAAGCAAGAAAAAATATTCAAAAAAAATACTTGTATCTTTATTTTCTAATTTTTCTGACAAATGTTGAAACCACTCCTAAATTTGATGATGCAAACAAGTCTGTAAATAACTTTGCAAAATTGGAATTAGGGCACATTTGAATTTTTCTGACAAACAAGTCTGTAAATAACTTTGCAAAATTGAAATTATATATAAGAAAACACATTTCAGATTGCTAATGCCAAACCCATCGTGATCAGTCAACAGATCGCCAAAATCAATTAAAAGAGCACATTTGACATAAGACTCAATGCATGAGTTAAAGCCCAGTTGAGTTGTACTCAGATGAATTTACGCGATTATTAATTACATATCTTTTATCTTCTTAAGGAAATGTCTGAGTAAAATTTTCCTTGCATTTGCTAGATTTGAAATATGAAAAACAAATAAACCGAGACAAGAGGAGCCAAGATAAACTCTCATCTCGGAGGTGCAAAAATGTGCAACGTAATCTGATATATGCCTGAAACACTAGTGATGTGGGGTGACCCAACCCAGCCCATTTGAGGCTGCGAGGCCCAGCCCACGAGCGTGAGATTAGAGAACGAGATCCGCTATAGCAGGGATCGCCATGCCCCCATTGTACGGAGCCAATCGCGATGCGCTCACATGACTCTGCCACACCCGTTGCAGGCCCTCGTACGGTTCCCATCTCAGACGTTCATCTCCACTTACCTCCAGGCAGTTCAAGTATAAATAGGGGTACCCCTCCCCCCTCCAGGTAAAGGGGTTACAAAAAACTCAAAACCAACAGCTATTGTCGTAAGGGCTATTGCAATAACTGTTGTTGTGACTTTATTCTAGAACTGCCTACCAGTATCCTATCCTGGTACTCTCCCTTCGTACCCTGTACTAACTTGACCGTCGGAGACTCAGCCTCGGGTTCTCACCCGAGGCCTCTGACGAGCTTCTGCCTTGTAGCATTTCGGCCATCTACCCTTGGCTTCTAGCGTACTCGGAGTCCACCCTGCCTCGGCCTACACACCTCGACCTCAGTAGCGACCTCTCCTAATCCTCAAAGCCTTCGGCCACCCTTCGGAGCCCAGGGGCGAAATTACTTTGTTGTCCTCAACTATTCCAACCACCAACAATTGGCGTCGTTTGTGGTAACGACACTAATACATTCCCCGAAAGAACTATAGCAAGTTAGCAAGTCCCCAAGCTTTGACCAATCAACATGGTACGAAGAATGAGGAATACGCAAAACCTTGTCACCAGTGAACAGTTCCAGGTCCTGCTCGACCGCTTGGAATATTTGACATAGCGAGTCGAGCAGAACTTCCCCCAGACAGGAGATCGCCCCCAAGGTGACCGCCCCACCGGGGAGTCAACACAGCCAGGTTAGCGTGGGTCCACCACCCAGTCATCCCCCAGCCTTGGCCACGTGGAGCGGGCTGAGCCCTCAAAGTCTGGCAGTAGTCAGCCCCCAGCCTTAGCCACGCGGAGCGGGCCAAGCCCTCAAAGTCTGGCAGCAGTCACCCGGCCGACCCACGCTCCAGCACCTTTAGACCTTCCAGGTGAAGGGAGGAGGATCTGGAGCAATCGGAGGATAGCCGTCAGCCCTACGAGTAGCATCACCGACGCCGAAGGGCCAATCCAAGGGACGAAGGCGGGTGCCACGATCGCCCAAGTGCCCATTCCAGGGCCGAGGGCCAGCGTCGAGCCTCTTCCCCTCACGTTTTGGACCTCCGGGACGTCCTTAACGACCGTCACGCCAAATGCGAAGCACGCGATCTCAACTCCGAGCACTCTGGAGTCTGTGCAGAGCACCACCATGTTCGTAAAGACTGAGAACGCACGCAGGCCATGCCCGATCCCATGTTCGCCAAACTTCGAGACAAGCTCGAAGCTTTCAAAGCCGAGCTTAAACAGGTGAAAGAGGGCCAAACTGACACCTTGATCGGACAAAGCTCCTGCCAAGGGAGAATGGATGCCTTCTCTCCTGATATCATCGCCGAGACTCTACCCCCAAACTTCAAGGCTCCCGCCTTGGAGATGTATGACGGGAACTCTGACCCAGACGACCACCTGGAAAGCTTCAGGGCCCTCATGATCCTATATGGGTACTCCAATGCTTTCACGTGCCGAACTTTCTAGGCAACCTTCAAGGGACCGCTCGGCGGAGGTTCTCAAGCCTCCCACCTCAGTCCATCAACTCGTGTGAGCAATTCTCCAGCATGTTCCTCGCGTGCTTCGTCAGCAGCCAGTGCCCCTAGAAGATAGTCGTCCCGCTGATGACTGTCAAGAAGAAGCGAGAGGAAAGCTTGTAGGCATACATTGACCGCTTCAAGAAAGAAGAACTTGAGGTCCGTGACCTCAACCCCCTGGTCTCCATGCATGCCGCTATCAGTGGGCACCTCCCCGTCTCTACCCCCAAATGCTCTGTGGCCAAAAGCCAACCGAAGACGAAGCTGGAGTTCCTATAAAGGGCCCAGAAGTAAATTGCGGTTGAGGAGGCCTCGGCCAAGGACGCCCATGAGAGGGGCGCGGAGCACCGAGACAGAGCCCCCGAGAAGAAGAGAAAAAATGGGGACCAAAGCCACAGCAACAACAGCAACAGAAAGCCTTCGGCCCCAGCCTTGGCTTATAATCAATATACACCACTCAACTCCACCCGCACACAAATCATGGTGTAGATTGGGTAGGAGAAATTTACGAAGTGGCCCGAAAAGTTGAAGAAGAACCCCCGTCGGGGGAATCCTAAAAAGTATTGCAAGTTTCACCGAGGTACGGGCCACGACACTGAGGACTACTACAATCTCAAAAACGAGATAGAGTCCCTCATTCGTCGGGGCCACCTCAAATAG